ACCAGAAACCACCTGGCAACCAATGCAGCTGTTTTGCAACAAAGGTTATATGTGATCTCAGTGGAACTCCAGCCAGTAATCTACCACCACTGCACTTGGCCCAACTGAAGTTTCCAAGTCATCTTCAAGGGCAGCCCTACATATAGCACATTGCAGTAATCCAATCTGGAAGTTTTGATGATCAAGTTATTTGTATCCAAAAGCCAAATGGAGCTAGAAAATGGAACTTGGAAACTACCTAGGGCACTTGAGCTTCCAAATGAGTGTTGAATCCAGGAGTGTGGAATCGAGCTGTAGACCAGGGGTCAGCAACCTTTTTCAGCCATGGGCCGGTCCGCCGTCCCTCAGACCATGTGGTGGGCCGGACTATATGGTTTTTTTGAGGGGGTGGAATGAACGAATTCCTATGCCCCACAAATAACCCAGCGATGCGTTTTAAATAAAAGGGCATATTCTACTCATGTAAAAACACGCCGATTCCCGGACCATCCATGGGCCACATTGAGAAGGCGATTGGGCCACAGCCGGCGCCCGGGCCTTAGTTGCCTAGTAGACCTATTCCTCCCAGGGGAGTGTAACATCACTTAGGACATGCTGTCTGCCCACCTCCTGGATCTTAACACTTTTGTCTTTTCAGGATCCACCATCAATTTATTGGCTCTTCACCACCAAAAGTCACTCCCAATTCAGACAGAACAGAGAGAGCCAGCCTACAGGGTGTCATCCATGTATTGATGACACTTTACTCCAAATTTCCTTCCCCCCCCCAAAAAAAAATGTTTTTATTGGTTTTCACAGAATTATAAACAAACACATAAAACAAACATAAATCATAACCTTATTAAAAATCACACTTATTAACATTCTTAAGTGACTTCCTCGCTTCCCCTTGGTGGAATTTCAATGCATATCCTTTTAACGGTTTTCCAATTCACAGTTCTTATAAAGTTTAACTTGAACATTAACATCCTTAGATCTTTTCGTTTTGAAATTAAACATATGAATTCATCACTTAACTTATATAAAATCCTAAGCCCACTGAGTAACTGCAAGCTGTTTCCAATTAATTTAACTTAACATATTTAACTAAGTAATCATTAAATTTAGTCCATTCTTCCTGATACTCCTCCTCCTCCTGGTCACGGACTCTTCCGGTTAGGTTGGCTAGCTCTGAAAAATCCGTCATCTTCATCTGCCATTCTTCCACCGTTGGTAGTTCTTGCGTTTTCCACTTTCTAGCTAGTAAAGTTCGAGCAGCAGTTGTGGCATACAAAAATTCCAAACCTGTTATTCCAAGAAGAAAGGCCTCTGGTTTCTATACAGTCTTATAAATGTATATTTCAACATTTTTTTCCAATTCATTATAAATCTTTCCCCACACTTTACTCCAAATTTCCTGATGACGTGTCCCAGAGGCTTCGTATAGGTGTTAAATAGTGGGGGGGGGGGAGAGAGATTAAACCCTTCGGGACACCACAGTTGCTGAACAGTGGTGTCCCACGACGACTTTCTGGAAACAGCGCTAAAGATAGGAGCTGAAGAACAATGCTCCAACCTCCCTGACAGTATCAAAAGCCGAACAGAGAGATCAAGGACAAGTAGAGTCACACTCCCCCATTTCTCTCCCAACGAATGTCAGTCAGGGTGGCCAAGGCAAGGTGAAGCCAGACTGGAATGGATCCAAGTAATTAGTTTTCTCCAAGCATGCCTGAAGGTGAAGCACCTCAAAGGGGGATGTTCTACTCCTTCAATACAAGTTGTACTTCCATTTGAAGTATTGCTCATTTCCTGGATCCACCCAGTCAACCCCCTGTGGCCAGCTCTGAGGACTTAAGATGGGCACAACTGTTTACTGCCATATCTTCCTCCTCAATGTTAGTGGCACAGAAATTTTAGCAAATATATACCTAATAAAGTGCAATGGGGTAATTCACATTCATGGGGCTTCACACTTTTGCCTCTCACCTCATCCATCACTTGCCTGTTGCTTCCAGAAAGCTGCCCCAAAGGGAAAGGTAAGGTAGAGGACCCCTGGATGGTTAAGTCCAGTCAAAGGCGACTATGGGGTTGTGGCGATCATCTCGCTTTTCAGGCTGCGGGAGCCGGTGTTTGTCTGCACAAAGCTTTTCCAGGTCATGTGGCCAGCATGACTAAACTGCTTCTGGTGCAACGGGACGCAACAGGACACTGACAAGTGCCAGAGTCCATTCACAAGGAAACACTGTTTACTTTCCCGCCACAGTAGTATCTATCTACCGGCACTCATATGCTTCCGAATGTTGGCAGGAGCTAGGACAAAACAACAGAGGCTCCAGAATGGCAGGTGAAGATGTTGGACTTTTTGGAGATGGCCGGCCTGATTGGAAGAATCCGCGATCAGAAAGAAGAGGAGTATCAAGAAGAATGGAAGAAATTCAAAGACTATTTAGCCAAATATTGTAACATAAGATAATTAGAAGTCACTTGAAAGTATCAAACAGGCTTAGGATTAGAATAAGAATGAACTGTAAAACATTATGGATTTAGCTCATTAAGAAAAGAGAAGAAGATAGTAAATTGAAAGAGTTAATTTTATTAGAAATATGATTTTGGAGAACTGTTACAAGTTTGATACAATGAAATTCAGTAAGGGGGGATTTGAGGAAGTCAGCTAACAATGAAAGTTAAATGGGGTTTTAGAAGTAATGTGTTTATATTTTTGTTTTTCTTTAGTATTGCGATGTGTTTTGTGTGTTTTATATGTTATGTTTGTTATAAATGTGGAAAATTAATAATTTTTTGACAACAAAACAACAGAGGCTCACCCCACTGTGTGGATTCAAACCGGCAAGCCCAAGAGGCTCAGCGCCACCCGCCTCCCTCCCTCACTCAAAAGGGTATCCAGCCCTTGGATTGCAAAAGGTTCCGCACCTCGGCAGTGCGGGGAAAGATAAGAGCAAACGCTGGTTTAAAACTTTCCCTCCCTGCCCCCTTTTAAAGAAAAGCAAGATGGTAAGAACTGTGAAGAAGGAAAACCTGGATGCTGTATCACAAATTAACAACATAATTTATGCTGCTTATTAACTGTGCAGTGTAACACTGTACTTGTTGCGTTAAGAATGTTTAAAACTGTCCCTTCATTGATGCAGTCATTTCTTTTCTTTGTTTACTAAAACTTGTAAAATGTCTATTAATAACAACAGCTGCAACTACATTTCTTAACCCTTCTTGATTGGTGTCTAAAGTCCAAAAAAATTAGCATAGCAGTAACTGTTTATTTTTTCATTTTAAAATTCACCAATCCAATATCAATGTTCAATGCAAAAAATAAAGAGATATTCCAATCAAGTGTATTTCAGTGGTTGCAATATTGAAAATACATAGCTAAAGAACAATGCATATGAAGCCTCCAACCAAAATGTAACTACTTGGCATGTGTCCTACTTGAGTTTATAAAATATGAAATGAACATTGTTACGGATTTGTCATAGGTTGATTTACAGTATTTTTCCATGTATAAGACGACCCCTATTTTTTTGAACCCAAAATTAATAAATCAATACTTTAAACAGCCTGTAACGGTTGGCAGAAGCAGCAGTGGAGCTCCGACCTGCAAGGCACCCTTGCCTTGTTGAGCTTTCTTGGGGGAAGTTGGCCAAAGTTGTTGAGGAGGAGGCAGGCGAGGGCCAGCATCCCCCAAAACAGCGCCAGGTGAAATCATTTGTGGTTCTGGCGGCTTCTTCATGGCCGTCACAGACAGGTCATGAATGTGTGTGTGTGTGTGTGTTTTACCCTTGTGCATTCCCCATTCGTGTATAAGACAACACCCAATTTGGGTCAAAAAGAATGGGCAAAAAACATTGTCTTATACACAGAAATGTAAATCTTGGGCCAAATAGCGAAGTTTTCTGTTCATTTTTTAATAGAATAATCTACTTGACTTGCTGTTGAATTTGTAAGTCTTTAAGGCGCCACAGACCTTGTTTTTGCTTGCTTCCAAGTACTGTAATCTGCAGTACTTGAAGAATATGCTTGGTAGAAATAATAGCTATTTTTGACGAGCAATTTAGGAATAAATACATACAGTATTTCTTAGTCACGTTGTCTAACATGACTTAGTCATGTTATCTTCTGACCAGCCCAGCGGTTGCAAATTCCACCTGACACACAAAAGCCGAGCAAGGAGCTCTGGAGCGGAGACCGGCCCGCCTTGGGGCCTCTGCCGCCGGACTCCGACGAATTAACGCTCTTTATCTCTTAAATCTGATTTTCCTCTATTATACTCGTGGAGAATGAGTTGTGCTTGGAGGAAGTTCTGTGCGCGCCTCTATTTTGCGACGAGCATTTCCCCCCGCCGATTAACGCCCCCCCCCGAGAACTGCCTGCGCGTTGCTCTCTTTCTTTTTGGGGGGTGTTTGCGATTCCAAGGCGCGCTTTCCCCGCGGAGCCCCGGTCCCGTCCTCCCCTCAGCTGCCCCGGCGGCCCCTTCGCCCGGCAGGCCTGGCCAAGAGTTCTCGGCGGCGCGTCGTGAGGGACGAGGAGGCCATTTGCTTCTGGAGAGACGCGCGCGTCTTCTTCGCCCCGCCACGGTCTCCTCACGCGCCGCCGCCGCCACCGGGAAGGAGCTTGGGCGCCCACGGAGCGAGTGAGCGGCGGCGGCGGCCTGTCGGAGGAGGCCCTCGCTCGGAGGAGGCGAGAGGCCGGGGTGGGAGGGCACAAAATGGCGCTCCTCGGCTGGCCGCCGCGACAGCCCCACGCCCCCTTGCCGGGCGCCCCGCGCAGGAGGAGGGCAGGCGGCTCCGGCGAGAGACCCGCCGCGGCAGCGCCGCCTCTTCCATTAGCAAGCAGGACGCGGCTCTCCCCGCCTCTCCCCCCGCCTCCCCGCCCGGTCCTCGGCGTGGCGCGCGCTCGCGAGCCGGCCTCGGGGTGGCGGCCCGCCGGCCCGCCTGTCACATCCGCCGCGGGGCGCGCCTGGCCTGGGCTTTCCCCAGCAGGTGGCAGCGGGATCCCAGGCGCCGCCGCCGCCGCTTCCGCCTCCGCCGCTTGGCCCGAGGCCCCCGCCGAAGCCGGCCAGGCGCGCCTCTGCCCTCCTGGCCAGGCGACGCGGCGGGAGAGGAGGGACGGCCGGCCAGCAGCCCCTCGCCAAAGTTTGGAGCGGGCTGGGCGGCGGCGGCGGCGGGGAGTCCGGAGCCGAGTTGCCCCGCGCCCCGAACTGCGCCTCTTTCTCCGGCGACTCCCGCTCGTCTCGGGCTGCCTGGAGAGGCGGCCCTTGGTCGTCTTGTGGGGCGGCTGCTGCTGCTGCGCGCCGCGCTCGCCCTCCTTCCTGGCCGCCGGCCTGCCCGCCCGGCCGCCCGCCTCCTCCCCTCGCTCGCTCGCTCCCTCGCCTGCCTTTGCTCACACACCATGGAGTTTACGGAGAGGAAGAGAAGCAGGAAATCCCAAAGCTTTAAACTGATAAATCAGGGTAAGGGGTGCGAGTGTGTTGGTGTGCTGTTGTTGGTGTGGGATTTGTGCTCGTCTCTGGGGAGAAGGAGAAGAAGGAGGAGACCTCATGTGCAAATCTAGAGGAAGAGCAGGAGGTTATGAAATATGTGCCATTCCCTTCTCAATATTTAAACTCCCTAATTGTATTAACGCTGGAAGCACTGCGTGTGTGTTGTGTATGGGGGGGGAGTGTCTTCTCCTTCTCCATTTTAATAAAATGGACACTTTTTTTCCTCGGTCGGATGAGACACATAATGATAAAGTTAGGTCTTGTTTCGCGGTGAATGCCTTTTTAAAAGAAAAATAAAGGCTCAAATCAGGGACATAACGAAACATTCGTACTTGGGGAGAGGGGGACCTGTTTCTTTCTCCTTTTTTCAGTACTGAATTCCTCTCGGTGCGCTTGCTGCCTTCAGCTTTGTTTCTCCCTTTCCTTATGGACCGATTGTGCCCAGACACGCATTGAGACCAGGAGCTTGGCGGAGGGTGCCTTCAGCACACGCGTCCACAAGGCAGCCCGGGAAATCACACAGGATCGGGCGCGGGGCGGGGGGGGGCAGGCAACTTGTCCTCCTCGGAAGAGGAATGCGGATCTCTAAGCAGAATAATGGCAGGAAACGTGTAAAAATGTGCCCTTTCACTTTCGTCTAAGGGGTGTGTGTGGATAGATAGATAGATAGATAGATAGATAGATAGATAGATAGATAGATAGATAGATAGATAGATAGATAGATGATAGTAGATAGATAGATAGATGGATCGATCCTTGGTGCTGTATAACAGGTGTTCTCCTTGGGAGGTTTGTACTCTTATTTCATTTGACTTTAAAACATGGCTGGAGAAGGTCCTTAGCACTGAACGCAAATATCTCCATGAACTGCGTATGTGCCCTGCATGATAAGTTGAGGGCAGGTAATTTAGAGGGTAGTGCTGCTGTTACTCTTCTTCTTATTTGATAGTTCATCATTAAATAACTCAGACACTCTTCTTTAACTTGTCATTTGTGGTGGAAATTGGATACAGTATAAGATTTCTGAAATAAAGAACTGAGAAGGAATAGATAACGTAAACGTTGGTTTTCTCTTTTTTTTAAGCCTATGGCAACACATTATTGAAGTTTACTTTTTTAACCAAAGGGTTGTGCTTATAGCGTGATTGCTGTACTGTTGGACAGTAACAAGCAAAGACTAATGTAAGGGAACTGTCACACAGTGAAAATTGGACTGATTTGTTTCAGAACTTCTTGCCTTTCAACTATACTTAAGTTATAGTATATAAAAGTAGCTGAATGCATACGTTTCCATAAGATAAGATTCAAATAAGTCCTGAGCAATAAGAAGTAAATGCAAATTACGTTCAGTGCTCAGGGGTTAAAATATTCAACATAGCATTTTATCTGACCTCCAGTTCTACAAATGGTTTCTTTTCCCTATTGAAGCGTGTATGTTTTAATTAAAAAAATAATAATAAGTAGATGGTACACAAAGCAGTTTTAAAATTTACAATTTTAGAAAGTGTGTGGTTCATCTGACACTTCTCAGCTGTTGTTTTTATTTGACTGATATGAGGATTTGTTTCCACTGTAGTTGATGTTTCCCTAGTAGGTGTTTCCTTAGCAATAGGCCTGTTCCTTCTGCTCGAATCATAACATCAGGAATACAGAGAGGTCTTGTTTGCTGTCATGGATCTGATAGGCCCTGGACTATAATATCCCAGGGAAAGGAGAGTATGACAGACAGGATACTGCTAATTATTATATTATGTGAAGTTTACTATATATTACAGCTTAACACTCATGTGACTCAAACTGTTCATGATTTATTTGTATTGGATATAGTACTGATTTCCTATTTTGACACAGTAGTTGGGTAGGGTAGTATTCACCTAAGTTTTACTTAGAGTAGATCTATTTAAATTAATGACTGTGGCTAAGTTAGGTCCGTTAATTTCAATATATCTCCTCTGAGTAAAACTTAATTGAATGTTATGCATAGTCCTCCTTGATACTTTGACAATTTTATATGTTTGTATTTATTTTCATAACATTTATACACTGCTTGATTGTAAAAAAAACTTCAGAGCAGTTTACAAAAAGAATAAAACAATTAAATTATAGGTAAAAACAGTTAAAAATAACTATTTTAAACATTCAATGTGATTACTGCTCATGGAGTCTGGGCTTAAGATAAAGGTTCCGAGGACATGTTAAACTGCAGTACCAGCACAGGTTGGAAACGAGCAAAAAAATCCCATGAATGGTTGCCACACCAGAAAGAACTGCGTATGGTGGCTCAATGTCATAATTATGCCAAAAGGGTGGCATAAATCTTTGCTGAAACTTCCCCCCAAATGACTGTGTGTTGAGTCTTGTCTGTTGGTATTGCCTGTCAGTCTCATTGGTTGAGTCATAAATCATACACCCTTATTGTCTTCTCTTGCATTGTTTGAAGCATAAAGTCTAGTGAACCTTCTTAAGTATTATAATATGAATCTTTTTTATTATTGAAACCCAGCCCAAGGGATAGAGTAAAGGATTAGCACTTGTCCCAGTGAAGAGAAGGTATTGCAAGTCTTCTCAGACTCATAATTATTAATGCAGAGGACGTGAGTTCCACAGGTGTGGGGAAAATCATTGAGAATGTCTCTGACACCCAGATGAACTTGGAGGTTAAACTTCATAAACCTGGAGAATGTGGTCTCTAAGTAACAGTGTAAGCAACAAGCCATTTTACAAATTGGTGATGTTCAGGAGGCTCACATTTTATTTATTGTATCTGATTAGGGACAAAATGATATAAATGCTAGAAGATTATCTGGAATTCAACCAAGTTTATAGTATCTGCCGTCCTGGAACTCCTGCTTCAATTAATTGTATATGATTGTGACTCTCGCCAATATCAGGTTAGCATAGCATTAGTTTCAGTGGGAACACTGGATGCTACATGAGCCCAATTGGAATGAATGGAGGTTGTGCAGTCAGTGCATAGTGCATTGTGATTTTGATACCGTATTTTTCGCTCCATTGGACGCACCCGACCATAGGGCGCATCTAGTTTTTAGAGGAGGAAAACAAGGAAAAAATATTCTGAATCAAATGTTGTATAAACTACTGTATTTAATAAACAACTGGTATATCAGAATCACATTACAGCCATGTAAAGTGAACAGCAGTCAACAATGGCATTAAGAACCATCATCACTGTCATTAACAAATGAAGAGAGACTTTAAGGTTTGAGTACTCTTCTAGTCTGTGAACCCCAAGAACTCATCACTGCTAAAGTCAGAATTTATGAAGCTCAGTTGCTCACAGTCAGAGACATCACTTTCTTCGCTATCTTCATGTAAAATACCATCTTCGTATCCATCCAAAGCATTGCTAATGCCACATTTTTTCCTCTCAATCCTCTTCCTCCCCTCTCTCAGCGAACAGCCTGCCAGCTGCTCGCAAACATTCCCTTTACTTGAATTACAGTCAAGAAACAGCCAAGCAGAGCTTCTCAGTAGCAGGCTTGGGAGGCTTTCCTTTTCCCCACATTTTTCTTTCCCCCCCCCAGCAGAACAGCCCCCTTTTCCAGCCTCCTCCTCTCCATCCCTTTCACCCAAACTCCTCAGGTGACGTCTACAATTTCTCCCCTTCACTGCTCCCTCTCCTTTGCCCTCTACCATGACTCTCCACTCACGGCAACCTATGGTACCTCATCTCCCTTCACCCAGCTTCTTGGTCCCCCTCCTCTCCGTCCTCTTCCTCCCCTCTCTCAGTGAACAGCCTGCCCGCTGCTCCAAACCTTGAGGGGAAGGGCAGGCTGCTGGCAGAGCAGCACCCCCCACACCCATTCAGCAGCTCTGGAGCGTGGGGCATGGGCGCACAGCCTGCCCACTGCTCCAAACCTTGAGGGGAAGGGCAGGCTGCTGGCAGAGCAGCACCCCCCAACCCCATTCAGCAGCCCAGGAGTGTGGGGCATAGGCGCACAGCCTGCCCACTGCTCCAAACCTAGAGGGGAAAGGCAGGCTGCTGGCACAGCAGCACCCCCCGCCCCCATTCAGCAGCCCAGGAGTGTGGGGCATGGGCGCACAGCCTGCCCACTGCTCCAAATCTTGAGGGGAAGGGCAGGCTGCTGGCAGAGCAGCACCCCCCCGCCCCCATTCAGCAGCCCAGGAGTGTGGGGCATAGGCGCACAGCCTGCCCACTGCTCCAAACCTAGAGGGGAAAGGCAGGCTGCTGGCACAGCAGCACCCCCCACCCCCATTCAGCAGCCCAGGAGTGTGGGGCATAGGCGCACAGCCTGCCCGCTGCTCCAAACCTTGAGGGGAAGGGCAGGCTGCTGGCAGAGCAGCACCCCCCACACCCATTCAGCAGCTCTGGAGCGTGGGGCATGGGCGCACAGCCTGCCCACTGCTCCAAACCTTGAGGGGAAGGGCAGGCTGCTGGCAGAGCAGCACCCCCCAACCCCATTCAGCAGCCCAGGAGTGTGGGGCATAGGCGCACAGCCTGCCCACTGCTCCAAACCTAGAGGGGAAAGGCAGGCTGCTGGCACAGCAGCACCCCCCGCCCCCATTCAGCAGCCCAGGAGTGTGGGGCATGGGCGCACAGCCTGCCCACTGCTCCAAATCTTGAGGGGAAGGGCAGGCTGCTGGCAGAGCAGCACCCCCCCGCCCCCATTCAGCAGCCCAGGAGTGTGGGGCATGGGTGCACAGCCTGCCCACTGCTCCAAACCTAGAGGGGAAGGGCAGGCTGCTGGCAGAGCAGCACCCCCCACCCCCATTCAGCAGCCCAGGAGTGTGGGGCATAGGCGCACAGCCTGCCCGCTGCTCCAAACCTTGAGGGGAAGGGCAGGCTGCTGGCAGAGCAGCACCCCCCACACCCATTCAGCAGCTCTGGAGCGTGGGGCATGGGCGCACAGCCTGCCCACTGCTCCAAACCTTGAGGGGAAGGGCAGGCTGCTGGCAGAGCAGCACCCCCCAACCCCATTCAGCAGCCC